AATAACCCTGGAGAGGTGAGCAGCACTCAGACCTGGGCTGTGCGCCGTGTGCAGCTGGTGCCCAGGTGGCAGGACTGGCTGCAGTGGCTCTGAGTGCTTGGCTCAGCCCTGGGGTCCTGCAGCCGGGGCACCCTGCTGGGTTTCCTATGACTTCCATAGGGAAGTTGTAATCCTCAGATGGGTTTTGTGGAACCCAGCCAGCGTGATGCCATCAGGCATTGCACAACGTGCTGGTTGGGCTGGTTGGGTGCGAGGGCCCCGCGGCCGTGCCGACCTCGTGCTCTGCAAGCACAGCTCGGAGCTGTGGGTTGTTTCTGGGTGTGCTTTGCAGGTACCTCCTGAAAATATTCATGGATGAGGTGTAGTGCTTATGCATGATGTGGTTACTTGGCTTTTGTGAGCTGTAGCTTGGGTATAACCCGCACTTAGGTTCAGATGAGCTTCTGTGCCCTCTGAGAAAGGGCCACTCCGCAGGGAATCTGGGCCTGGCAGTCTCACAGCTCCCACACACCCAGGATTTGGCTGAATTACTCAGCTCCTTGTTGCTGTGTGCATAGGAATAGCAGAGCCCATGGTGCCGTGCTGTAGCTGCCAGCTGCATGCCCCAGTGTGCAGCCTCTGCACTCCATCTCCTTGCGTGAAGCCGGGAGGGTTTGGGACATCTCCCTACACCTCTTGGCATTGAGGACTTGATTATTTCTCTGTTCCCTTGCAGTACCTGCAGATGCAGGCTGCCACCCCTCTGTGCAACATGCTAAAGGAAAATTATTGGGGCCCTTCTAAATTCTCCTCACAAGGCCAGCAGGCACTATTTCCGAGCAGCTGGCTCTCCACTGCAGCAAGTCCCTTCTGTCTGTGTTTTCCCCTCTAGACAAGCTCGTTGCCAGGCTGCATGCGATGAATCACGGCCTTCTTTCTCCACTTACCTCGATGCGCAGCAGCGCTCGCCTTCCTCCCATGCTCCCACTCTTGAACACGCACTGAGAAGTGGGGAAAAAAGCAGAAAGCTCCATGAGATCCATGCCCTGTGCCACCCTCCTGCGTCCCTGCCCTGCACAGGCAGCGTTCGTGGCTGCAGGATTCCCAGTGCCATCACTGCCCGAGCCCATGAGGTCTCCTACAATGTATTTATAGCTCACTGTGCTGGAAATATCCACAGGGTGTCTGATTCCCTGCCCTGCGTTGGTGCCAGCGGGACGGGCTGTGAGCCCCCCAAGCAGCACTGGGGCAGGGGCTCACTGCTGCCCTCGGGGTGTTGGTTCCTTGCTGAAAGCTCACAGAGCTGTGCCATCGCCAGGGTCGCTCACGCAGGACTTCTCATCTCACTAGAAATATTTCTTTGTGTCCTATCAGGGTAGATCTTAACGAAGGCAGCGAGAGAGAGATAACAAAGTGTCAGTGCTGTATTGCATAACGAATCCCTGCAGAGCACAGGTACTACCGAAATGTCCAGATGTGGAGATGGTGGTGATGATGGTGGTGATGCTTAAACAAGCCCACATCTGTGCTGAGGTAACTCTGTTTCTCAGCAGCTTCCAACCAAGGCCTCTTCAGGGCTCCTCTTAGTGGGTCAGGTGCTGTGGGGCTGCAGAGGCTCACTCACAGTCGGTAAGCGCTCAGTGGGGCCGTCTCAGCACTGAGCACTGCACACAAGCACAAAGCAAGGAAGTGCTTTGATTTATTGCTTTTCAGAAATAGCTCTGTTCCATGAAGCATCAGAGCCGTGGCTGGTCCTGTCCTGCTGCCCCCACCGCAGCCTGGTCCACGGCCGGGCCACTGCAGCGAGCAGTGCTACTGGTGATGCAGGTGCCAGCAGCAGGGTATCCTGCTTTAAAGTCATTTCGTCTGGTGCTTGTTTAAGTCACTACAAGAAAATAGATGAAGGCTATAACATAAGAGGCTCCAGCCACCACTCTTGCAGGCAGGTGCACGCTGGGACCAGCAGCACAGCCAATACGGCTGATCTGCTGCTTCTCTGGCTGGCCTGAATTGGAGCACTTTCCTTGGACAAAGCGTTCCAGCTTTAATGAGCAAAACCAAACTAGGATCATCCAACCCCAGTCTCCTCCTCTGATGTCACTGGTACCTGGTGAGTCATCCTGCGTTGCCATGGTGATGCAGTGATGCTGGAGAGCGTGGGGATGCTGCTGCCCTGCCTGGGGAGCAGAGGCGGCCAAGCTCCCCCCCGGCACTGAGCCCCCCACCCTGCCATGGGCTGCCACACTGCGAGCTGCTGCCCATGGCCCTCTGCCACCTCCAAGGCTGACAGGATGCCGGCGGACGCCAGCGGTAAGTCAGCGCTGCCGGGGGTTGTGCTGGCTGTTGGGCATTGATGGGGTCCTACAGAGGCTGTCTCCCAGCAGGACAGGAAGGAGGCCGTAGGGACATCACCTGAGGCTGCCCTCTGCAGTCTAACCCCCTCGATGTGCTCCTGGCAGCCCCAGGGGCTCGTGACCCTGATTCCCAGCAATGCCCTCAGCCGGTCCCAGGAGCAAGGGGAGCAGAGCAGAGAGGCACAGGGTTGGGGTCTGCATGGGGACCGTGTCAGTGGCGTTGGTCGGGCACAGTGGGAACAGCAGCATCATGCTTCAACCCGTCCCCATCTGTTCAGAGCCGTGCTGTTAGGAAGTTTGTTTCTGTAATCCGTGGCATGTGCCAAATCCTTTGTACATGTCTAAAGGTGCTGCCTTGCTCGGGGCATCCCAGGGCGTGCTGACAACCCTGTGAGCCCTGCAGTGAGGGGACGTGTTGTACTTCCCTGCGCATCTCATCCCTGCTGGGGAGTGCTGCCCCACTGCTCAGCTGCTGTGTGCCATGCTGGGGGTGCTCACGGGTGCCACCCTGGCTTTGCTTTCTGCTCAGGTTGGAGTTTTATGGTCATAAAGTTCTTGCTGTAAGCAGGGCCTGGATAAGCAGGATTGAGATGTTTCAATTGCTCTGACTAATTTTCACATTAACATATTTCTTTAGCTACAGATTTAAGAGCATTAAAGTGCAACATGCACAAGCTGGCGGGGACCCAAGGGCGGGAGGCAGTTCAGGTTTGTTTTGGCATGTCTGGAGACAGGAGCAGAGGGAAGGACAGGGCTGCCAGGTGAGGAAGGAGCTCTGCAAGCCTGGTAAACTGGGAGCTGCGTGCAGGAGAAATAGCTGAATAGGCACTGCACCCCATCATCACAACAGCTCAACTCCACACACGTTACCTTCAAAAGCCGAATGAATGGAATACAGTATTGTGGTCTGGAATTAATTGGTTTTCCTTATTTACATGAAAAATATCCCACATGGCGTGTGGTTCCCCAGTGCACACAACTGTTGTGCTGCACATTCCTTATGATTACAGAACTGAATATAAGTAATTACTGATAACTGCATTATGCCACAGAAACTGCTCCTGTGTCGCTCGTAATTACGCTGAAGCGACTGCTCTTTTGCTAAGAATAATGCTGTGCTCCCTCTTCTGAAGGTTGAATACATGATGCACTGTCATGGGGATCTATTTTGTACCAGGGAGAAAAAGGCATTTTGAAACTGTTAGAGCAGCAGCTCAATAGGGTTCTGCCCATTCCCTCCTTTCATCCTCAGGTTACGTTAGCCTGGCTTCATTCATTCATGGGACAGTTTTTGACCACATCTTTGTTTACTTAGCGAATTCAGAGTAAGACAACTTTTCTAAACCACAAAACAGAACACCTCTGTGGTGTGTGCAGGGACCTGAGAGTCAATTTGTTCAGCCTTCTTCTCTTGCTGCTGCTGGCAGTACATGCAAGAGCCAAGCAGAAGGCAAGAGAGAGGTGAAGCTCTTCCAGCAGAGCCACCCACTCCTGTGCTGTGGCTGGGGGGATGTGAGAGCTCCACAGCAAAGCCAGCACGCACACTGGCTGCTGGGTCCCTGTGGGCTGTGGGTTATCAACCAGCTGGAGGGAAGAGAGTGCACTGCATAACCCAGACCAACGTGGTTTCTCCCTGTTTGCTCAGTGGCTGCGCTGCCTGCAGCAAACCAAGCTTTATGGTGTTTATACTCAGGGTATGGTAAACCTGGCAGTTTTTAAGGATCTGGTGGAGGGAAAGTTTCTCCCTTCTGCTAAGTGTGCTTTTCCTGGGGAAAAGAAGGAAGGAAGTGAAATATTAGTAACCTTTGGAAAGCGTGCTGAGTCCTAGCAGAGGAAAGTAAACTGAGCAGGAGTCGAGCTGTGTATGATACAGACAAACTTCCCAGTGTGCTGGAATCCCCAAGCTGTGATTCTTTTTGCCCTGGTTTAACTGGGAGCATTATCTGTCTGGTAGAGACATTCTGCCGTGTCCTCCTCCATAAATAGCTACAGGGAGACAGTGAAGCATAGGATCTCCATGCAGTCTCCTGCACAGTGCTCTTTCCTTCATCTGAAGGTGCTTTTTGCAGTGCTGAGGGAGGATTCCATTCACTGTTGGCCTTTCTAATAGGAAGGTGCTACTGCTAATTAGTGCCACCGATGGGTGAGCTCCTGACTCCATCCCCAGGAAGTATCCCTAACCCATACAATCCCAGTGCACAGCAGGTTTATATTCCTACAAACAATACGTATTTATTTTTATTAATCTGATGTCCTTGGGATGACAAGGGACTGATATTCTGTGTTTTTATCTCTCATACTGATAAATGAAACATGGTAGAAGAAACTGAAATCCTAGGCATTCTTCCAGTAAGGCAGAAAGCAAGCACAGGGGTTAGCTTTGTTACATGTAATAGGTGTTGTGCTTGAATATGGTAATTTGTCAAAGGTATTACCTCCCACTAATTAATCTCAGAGTTCTGCTGGAAGACAGGCTGTGCAGTATTTGTCAGTTCACATGTACACCCACTCTGAATGGTGGAGGGAGCCAGGAGAATGCTCCAAGAGGAAAATTATTGCACATAGAAAAGCAACCTGTTCTCATTTTCCCGAAGCCTTAAAGAATCTTTTATATGGAGTACAGGAAAGAAACAAGTGTTCTGCAAATTAAAGATGAATTTGCTGCCGTTGAACTGGGGAGTCATTTATTTTCGCTTGGAAAAAGCAAACCTATTTAGCCATCTACTGAGGATCCTCCCGTTTTAAGTGCAGGCTTTTTATCTCCAGGACAGTTTTGAGGATGCTGATGTTAGAGTTCTGACCAAACTTCTCAAACTACAAAGTTTCCCCAAACGTCAAATTCAGGTTTTGCTTAAGGACACACAAATGCCCTAAAGTAGCACAGTTACACGAGGTATTACCATGAAGGAAGAAGTCACAGCATATTTCTCATCTTTGGAAGAGAGTGATACATGAATGTAAATCCAAAGGACAGCACTGTAAAAAGGAAAGGGGTAGAAAGGTAGTAATAAAGTCAAGGTTTTAAGTTCAGCTGTAGCCTGTAAAAGGATGGCATTTTCTTTACCCCTACACTTCCTTCATGCTTTTTTCCCACAGTGTTCATTTTCTTGACCCAAACATTTCCACTTTTTTTTTATATATTCAGTTTCAGGTGTCTTAGTAATACTTGTTCTGCAGGAGTATCTGCCACTCTCTTAAATCATAATTTGTTTTTAAGTGTTTCTGACCGGTTTAGCAACTACATCCATTCTTCATCTATAGCAAAAATATATCAGAGGAAAAAGCAGGGCAGCTTTCTCCCAGCGTGTGCCTTCACCCTCACATACAGGTCACCTGCTGAGTCAAAGGGCCGTCCTGTTTCTGCAGCCCAATCCACTACCTAAATGAAAACATTCTTCTTGAGTTTAAGGGGATTTGGATTGGGCCTTAATACTTAATCTGGAAACAAGAGCTGCTTGTTACAGTAGTAACGTCATAAATTGACAGCCTGCTTTAAAAAAATTTGTGCTGAAAAGCAAACTCTTCAGAGATTATAAAACAATGAGCAAGTTGTTTACAAGGGACATCCACTTTAATTGCATACAATCTTGCAATTAAGTAGGCTGGGATAACCTTTGGACACCAGATCATACTTCCTGAATCACACTAGATCATACTCCTGAAATAGGTTGCCTGGCACTTTGAAAAGATACAGGGAAACGAATGCTGAATCTTAAGACTGATCCAAGTTAATCAAGAATTTGAAATGTGTGTCTTCCACATACATAGCAGAAGTATGAGACTCATAACGAAAAGTTAGGTAGGAAAAAGTCTGCTATCACCGCGTGAGGCCAAGCTTATCATCACATTTTCACAAGATAGCTATTAAGATAATTCATCGATCCAGTGTGTGCGTTAGAGACTCAAACCTTTTAATCATGTAACTTCAACTTTTCAGCTGAGCCCCGCTGCCATCAGTGAACCTCATCAGCTCAGTTAATCTGCAGGGTCACCATGCAGGGTGAGCTTGCTGCTTCCAGCAGGTATCGGTGAGCTTTCAGATGGCGGCCGGTGGGCAGCAGTGTCTGCAGGGCACCCAGGAGAAGGCCTCTATGGTGCTTGTGATGGCTTACCTACAGCCAAAAAGAAAAAAAGAAAATCATTATTTTATGCCTGTCAGCCATTTCTTGCTGTTTATCATGACACAAATTATTTGCTATGGAACGCACAGGCTGCGTAAGCCAGTCTTCTGCCTGGAAACCACCTCTGGCATCCTTTGATCAGGAGCAGATAGCAGCAGACCGAGCCCTGGGGGAGGTTGTTCCCAATAACCTGAAGAGAAGCATCACGGAGCTGCACCGCAAAGGGTTCCCACGAGGTGCTGTGGGGCTGGCTGGTGAGGGAGATGTGCATCCTTCACAGGACGAAGTAACATCTGACTGCAGCACTGCAGCAGTTCCTGTGTACCTGGAGGGTTTCCCGGTTAACGATTCACAGCACAGAGCTGGAAATTCTTTGCCGTTTATATGCAATAAGGGTGGCCGGGAGGAAACCAGCCGTGCGGTGCGGGGTGAGCAGTGCAGGCCGCAAAGCCCCGCTCTGTGCGTCTGACAACGCGCATCTTCCAGCCGGGGCTCCTCCATCTCACGGCTCGGTTCTCCCCACACACCCGCCGCGCACACAGGCCGCCCTCGCTTTCCTCGACGACCTCGCAGAGCCGGGCTGGCAGCGGCGGAGCTCCGCCCGTCCCTCGTCGGGAGCGACGCCTCGGTTCCCCTCAGCAGCCCCGAGACCGCCGCGCTCAGGCCGCGGATCCGCGTTGCCGCGTTGCCGCGCTCCCCGTCGCCGTGGTAACGCCGTGGTAACGGCCGCCGAGCGAGGCCCGCGGGCGACCCGGCCCTCATCGCGGCGCCTGCGCAGCGCCGGCCGGCACCAAACCCCGCCTTTCTTCTCTCCGAGCGCGCCGCCGCGTCCGGGCGGGAGGCGGGCGGCGGGAGCGCGCATCCAGGCGGGCGCATGCGCGCGCGCGCGGTCCCGAGCGTTGCCAGCCCCGGCCCGGCAGCGGCGGGCTGCCTTCCCTCCTCCTCCTCCTTTTCCTCCTCCTCCTCCTCTCCCTTCTCCCCTCACGGCGCTCTCCCGCTCAGCACCGCCCGCTCGCGGCCCCGTTCAGCGCTGCCTCCCGTCTCCCTCCGCTCCGGAGGACGCGGGGCTCCGCCGGCCGCGCTTCGGGGATGAGGCGGCGATAGCGGCAAGGTGAGGCGGCGCGGGGCCTGCAGGCCGCGGCGGGGGGGCGGCGGGGCGGTGGGCTGCGCCCCGATCCTTCCTCCTCCTCCCTCCTCCTCCTTCTCCCATTGAGAGGAGGGGGCGCCGCGCCGCTGCCTTCCTCCTCCTCCTCTTCCTCCTCCTCCTCCCCCCTCTCCTCCTCGCCCCGCGTCGAGGGCCGAGCATGGGCGTGCGAGCGCTGTGCTGCTGCGGGCGGGCGCGGCGGGGCCGGGGGCCGCAGGTGCTGCCCGTCGGGGGGTGAGGCTGCGGGCGGGAGAGATGCTGTGCTGGCCGGGGTCGGAGGGGCGCGGCCCGGCCCGGCCCGGGGGAGCCGGGCGGTGTGACGGAACCGCTGCCTTTTGTTTTGCTCCTAGATGGTGGATGTTGACGTTGGTGCGGGTGGAGAGAGCGGCAGAAGGAAGATGGATGCCTTGGGTGATAGCGCGGTGGAGATCGTCCCTTTGGAGCTGTATGATTCAGCCAGAGCGAAAATAGCTGCTAATCTACAATGGATCTGCGCTAAAGCCTATGGAATAGGTGAGGTGGCGGCCGGTTTTGTTCTGCGTTCGGCAGCTCCGCTCCCCTGCCAGGAGTGGTTAAATTCGGCATAAATCGCCTTTGTCTTTGACATCAGCGATGCCATGGTCCGTTCTGTTGGAATATTCATGATGCACATCCCGGTACCTTCGGCAGAACAATGGAGCTACCTACGGGAGCTGCTGGGAACCAGCAAACAGAGCGCTGAACGCTCACGGGTTATTGTTACAAAGGATGCAAAGGATGCACGTCTCCGAAGGTGTGACCTCACACTTCAGACAAGCACGCTGGCAGCACCTGCAGGCCCGAGGCTCCGGCGTGCTCCCTCATCCCGTTGTCTCGGCTAAGAGATGCTGGGGCCTTGATGCTCTTTGTATGTTCTGTTGGCATCCCCAGCTCAGGGTTCTGGGTTCTGCAGCATTTCTGGGTACGTTCTGTTTTGTTGGATCGTGTCATTGGTTTTAAGGTGAACCGAAAAACAGTCCATTGGTGATTGGTAAAATTCTTTTATGTCGAAGCCATGTTGTGTGCACGGAGTTTGGTGGTGTGGTGTGACATCAGACAGCATGGTGTGGGTGATGGAGAAGTCCGCCTTTCCCAGATGGGAAATCATGGGCCAATACAGCCCAATGTGGACAAATTCAGGTTGTTGTACAGCAGAGGCATTTGTACGGTATTTTCCTGGCATCTGTTGGAATCACTTCTTTGTTTTGAGCTAGATTTACCTGTCTATTCAGAACTGTTGCTGCAGGATGCTTCCTGAGTTCAAGTAGCTTCATTACTAAGAAATACACCAGAGTCCTTGTTTTTGCTTATGCAAAAGAAAACGTATGCTAAAACATGTACAAAATCTTGTTTTGGAAAATGAGGTAGCCCTGTTAATCTAAGTCTAATTCGCCAAACTCGTAATGTGCTTAATGGATTAGTGCTAGCTTACTTTGTGGCAAGGCTGAAGAAAAGCAGTCCATTCCTGCAGCAAAAAATTATCCTTGTGGAAATATGTCCTGAACTGTTTTTCTTTTAATATTGTCAGCTCTGTGCGTGGTCTCATCACAGTGATGGTTGTGGGAGAAATAGGAGGAAGACTGGGATTTTTGTAACACTTTGTTAGTAAATTTTGTTATAGGCAACGGGAGACAAAAAAATACATAGATCAAGTTGAAAAATGTGGGAATTTTAGTGCCATGATGATGAACTGTTGGTAACACAAGAGAGATAAGTGGATGTTTCTTCATGTAAATATTTTTCAGTTGCTGGGACTGTTTGTGATGTTTCCTGAAGGTTTTTTTGGTAGTCAGAGGTAAAATAGATCCTCCAGCCCTGAAGACGCACTGTTTCTTTTGTGACTTTGTTTCAAAAGGAAGCCAGCTCTGACTTAGGGCTGACTGGTGTGGGTTGTATGCTGCTTGAGGAGAAAGCTTTGGGCCCCTCGTGCTTTGATAGAGTCATCTGGGGCTGCAGGGTGCAGGGCTGTGTCTTGTAGCTCTGGGCTCAGCTGGCTGCCACAGGTCTGTGTGCACCTCACAGCGTGGACCTGCATGGAATTGTTAGTAAATTGGACCTGCTTGGCTTTTCCTTGGCTAAAAAGGTCAGAGAGGAACCCCACTTCTGCAGGTGTCCACAGCAGGCACAGGGGTGGTCTCCAGCATGGAGAAAGCTGTAGCATCACTTGCTATTTTCCCACTTGTGTTTCAGCTTGTTCAGGTTGTGCGTCAACGGGAGTTTAATGCCATGGATGTCAAGAGGTGTTGTTGCTGGGACTTCTGGGGTTGAATATCCTTGGTTAGCTTCAGCATGTAAGGCTTCTGTACGTCTTTTCAGGCCTGTGGCCTGTGGAAATGTAGTTTGATTTTGAAAAGGCTCCAGCAGGCTGTCATGTGGTAACCATTGCTTTGAGAAAAGCGTTGCAAAATACTTAGAAATTTATAAGCCTCTTTAATTCACAGAGAGATGAATTAAAGCTTAAGGAGGCTTTCTACATGATTATCATTTTGTGTAATATTTGAATCTGTTACTTGTCATCTCCGTGGTGTTGGTGGGATGTCTTTGGTTTGCTTTAAGATACTGGATGTGTGGTGAGGCGTGGGCAGCTCCCAAGAACTTCTTTTTTCAGTATCTCACTGTGAAGGTGTTTGTTGGGGGAGAGCTGTGTTGTTTCTCTGGGCTTAGTTCTGGTCAAGCTGATGAAGAAAACCCAGCAGTTCTCTGTTGGAATGTGAAGGCTCTGTCTCACGTTCCAAAGTAATTCCCTATCAGATAGGGTTTTCAGCACGGCCTTCAGGTGGCTGAGTAAAGAGTATTGTTAGGAAATGTTCAATTTGAAATTGAACACATGAATTGATGTAATTTTGTGCTGGAATCTTGCAGATGCTGCTGTGTATCCTGAATTTCATCTGAGTAAAACTAAGCTTGTGCAGAAGTGTGGGAATGGCCAAGAGCAGGAATTAGATTCTGGTGTGGACTGTAACTATTAATCATTCCCCACTGTAGATTTTACCTAAATCTAAAATTTCCTATTTACTGTTGCAGTGTATGTGAATTTTCCATGTCAAAGCTGGCATCTAAGTGGAAAAATTCTCCATCCTTTGTTGTTATTCTCAAGGACAAATCAGCGAGGCCATCCCTGGCATCACTTGGAGCTGAAGCTCTAGTTTGGGATTTGTTTCATTGGATGATGCTTTCTTTTGTTCTCCGCTGCCCATGAGAAGAGTTTTGGGAACCAAACAGCTGAGCACAGCTCCCCTCTCTCTTCAGCACAAACAGCTGCTGCTGCAGAACTCCCTTTCTGCTGTTTGCACAGGGATTGAGCTGACTGGTTTGTTTCTGGCTGCACGGGGCTCCTCCTGCCCATCTCTGGTGCCTGCTTGTCACAGATGGACACGAGAGGCAGGCTGTACAACCGTTGTCCACACAGCAGAAGAGAGAAGGGGGTGGAGCAGTGCAGGAGGTGTTTCCCCACTCGCTGTCATCCCTCTCCCAGAGTAAATCCAGGTGTGCTGTCACAGATCCACACCGAGATCTGTGCACAAACATCTGGAAACCTTCTGCACTTCTGAAGGACTGGAAGGCCATTTGGCTGAGATGGTAGTTTGAAGGAATCAGAGTGGGTTAGAGCGGAATTATCTCTCTTTTTCATCAGCAAACGTTGATTAAAACCAAACGTGCACTTTAAGGAACTCTGGTAGCAGTGTGAAAACACAGCTCTTAATGCTCAGGAGGTCTAGGAGCAAAGGTGCTGCCAGGTTTCTGTACAACTTGAGTTCACAGGGCGCTTAAATCCCTTTGAGAGCTTCATCCTGGCCTTGCAGAAGGCAGTGCAGGAGGCTTAGAGCAGCTTGGCAAGCTGTGCTCCTGCACCAGTGCTGTCCTTGCTGTGCTGCTTCCACATGGTGCAGCTTGTGAAGGTGGGCCGCAGCTGAGCTTCCATTTCTCAGGCTGAGTTAGGACTGCGTTCATTTGTGTGTCGAGGTTGTTTGTGTCATGGTTTTGATGTTAAAATTTAGAGAGGGAAGGACTAAATGAGAGTTCCCCTGTGTTGCAGCCTGCTGTGAGCACGTGTCGTTTCCGACCCGCTCCATAACAAACTTCACTGCTTTTTAAATGCAATTTGTAAAATTCAGGTTGCTGAAATGAAGCTGAACTTATTAGGGTGAGGAGCTGTGTGTAGGTTCCACACTCAGTGCTAACGTGAGCCTGAGGGTTCGACCTGGTACAGGAGGGAGGGCAAAGCAGTGCTACAATGCACTGTAGAGGAAGGGCACGTTGTGGCTTTTCTTGTCTTTGAAGTCCTTCATGTTCACCTGCTAAGGGAGGTTTTGCAGTACCATAATAGCTGCCTGCAGTTACCAGTTGGCACCAGCAGTGTGAAAATGTTTCCAGGGCTGAACTGAGCAAACCCTGGTGTTCCTTGTTCCTCTTCCCTCGCCTCAGTGAGGTCT